CGCAGAATTTTTTCACCTTTGCCATCCCATAGCAAAGAGCAATAAAAGTTAGTGGCCTTGAGAAGTCTACTTTGCTGAAACCATTTTTTTTTTTCATAGAAAGATTTAATAAATTTGAAGCGACAATAGCACTGACTGTTCGGCCAGTGAAATTTAATTGTTTCCTTATAAGGAAAGGGTTAATATTACCATTACCATTAGAGATGAGAACAGATACTATACACGGTATTTTCACGTCTCCCCACGATGACGCAATATGGTAAAAGACCGCTTTAGATTGGGGAGCCCTAGGATAAGGTTAAAAAATACCCAATCCCCGTAACCAATATCACTCTGGCGTCGATAATCCACCACCCCAACTTGTTTGGGGAGGTAATGCCGCGGATTTGGAATCCCCGGCGATCAGACATTCTTCATTTATTTGTTGTGTTCTCTCCAAAGAGAGAAACGCATTTGGGAGATAAAATGCTGTCTGTGCGAAGACAGATACTACACATTGAACCTAGATCAATGGCCAGTGAGGAAAGAAACAGCATAACTCAAGTAGCACTGCTTGCTCGGTCAATGAATGCCAAATCTTACCTTATAACGAAAAGGTTAAAATTATCATTCAAGCCCACAGTTAAATGTTTGGATGTGATTTTCATCGGGGAGAATTTACAAACTTTTCTTCATTGATGGATTTTTTGGATGTTTTTATTTTGCCGTATATCAACACATCTATGGGTTATTTAACGCTCAAATGTAAATATTTTTAACACAATTGTGTGGCTTCAACTAACTATATTTTGAACACAGTTGTATACCTTCAACTACAGATAAAATATAGGTCATTTTGCTTTAAATATGTATTGTTGGCAATTTTACTATAATTATCAATGCTGGTATTTACCTATAAATAGGTATTGTTGGTTGGTTGATTTTATTTTGTGGAATATCAACACCTCTATGGGTTATTTAATGCCAAAATCTAAATGTTTTTTATACAATTTTATGGCTTCAAGTGAATACATTTTGAACGCAATTATATATAATCAATATGTATTGTTGGTAATTTTACTATAAATAGGTATTGTTGGTAATTTTTTATATAAAACTTTAATACTAGTATTTTACCATAAAATTGTATTTTTATACTTTCATAGTGTTTTCCGTTTGTTTGGGAGTTCACTATTTGCCTAAAGATGGGACCCTAACCGGTGCTACCACCACAGGAACGATGGATCTGGGAACATGTTATACTGGAACACACCTGTTCTATTGTTAATAGACTCTCCCACCTATAATAAGTAGGAGTAGTAGCAGTCGCTGAGTCGGCTCAGGGAGTGGGTCAGTCAGTCGATGTTGGTCGACCGGCTGACCGGTTGAACCCTCTGCCTTCGGACGGGGAGGAACCCGAAGGAGGCTACGCCGAAGGGCGGATTCTCTTTCGGGGAGGTAAAGCGACCCTGAACCCGTTTATACGGGTTCAATGAGCATATTTTTGGCCGAGCCCACGGACTCCGAGATCCCACGTTAAACCGGCCTTGTGCCACATGATGCCCTCGTGGTAGGTCAGTCAGTCGATGTCGGACGACCGTTAGTCGGATATTGAAGTATCAGCCACCCCAACTAGATTGCTGCGTCATTAACTATTATATCAAGTTCCTAACGTTTTGTACGTCGAACCAATTTTAGGACCGACTTAGTACAAATACAAGCCTCCACTGTGAAGCCACTACATAACAATTTGGCGACGAGGGATTCGGATTCATACGGAGGAAGAAAAACCTTTTCGTACTACATAACAGAACAACAGCAATTAAGAGGTGATTTCACACTCCTCAAACCCTCTAATCTCCCGATCAGAGGCCTTGCTGCCGGGTGTAATAAAAACATTCCAGATGAAAACTACTTATTATCAGAAGCGATTTGCAGACAATCCTTCAGTAGGAATTGTACACCCGCGCATTACTTCCATATAATCAGAAAGTTCTTCGATAAAAAATTACTAAAATGTATGACTTGGGACCCCTGAGCTCTCGCTTTCAGGCCATATTAAGAAAGTGTTTTTTTAATCATTTCACCCCAAGCAATTCAATCAAGCCGCTAAGACGCAAAGGGTTACTGAGTGCTGGAGAATAAGAGAAAAAAAAAACACTATAAAAGAGAGAGAACAATAAAAAAAAATTAGAATAATTGGAATTAAGAAGACAGAGTATAACAACTGACATTGCATTTAAAATTTTGACTCTTAACCAGATCCAACTCGATGCTTGTTGAGCTGTCGTCTGGAGACGGTGTGAAGCACATTTCAGGCTCCGGCCGTTGATTCCCACCTTCAAAAGAAATCAAATGATGGACCGTCCAAGGAATCCACAGCACCCGACCTCAGTAGGTAGAACATGATATGTCCACCCTTTTTCCACGCACTCGGATCGCAACGATTCGTATGGGTTTTTTCTTTTTTTATTGAACTGCATATAGAATGAGTATATTTCTTTTTATAATAAAACCTGCGATTTGCATTGAGCTTGGCGTTGTTTAGCGTACACTAAAATTTTTTAAATTCTTGATAGGAGATATGGAAAAACGACAGAGGCTCCTACAGCTGCCGGGTGTAGTTTATCATATGCCGAGGATTGTCATTGGTAGAAACATTCCGGATGAAAACTACTGGAACCGGTCGAAGCAGTGCCTTATTATTGAACTGTTGAAATCGATAAGTAACCCACGTACTGAGTTTAAATAAAATCGAAGTAAAAAATTTGAATTTATCGATTTTTTTCGGCTTTATCGATTATTGATTTTATTTTTAAATTATTAATTTTTTTACGCTAAGAACCGACCTCTTACATAGTACAATGCATGTACCAAGTTTGGTTGGATGGATCTCGAGTCAAAACGTATCACACAGATAGACAGACGCACAGACATCCTCTGTTTTATATATATAGATGAAGCGTTGTCATGATTATTATTTTTTTCAACTCATTTATCTTTCATCTTATTTTTGTTACACTAATGTCCACAAGGAGATATTGCATGAGTAAAATCGTTGGTCGGATCCAATGACTTGAGCCAAAAAGTTCTGAGTTCAATACCAGCCTACTGCAGCGGTGAACAAAAACTTGGACAGTTGAGTTAAAGAGGATAACTGAAACATTCGGAAGAGGCATGGAACTAGAACAATTTACCCTGGTGGAGGATATAAAGGGTTCAGTACGAAATTTCAATGACCTGAGGAAGATCCGAGCGTACATCGGTCGGAACATCTCTCTATATAAAAAGCAGGATGTGTGTGTGTGTGTGTGTGTGTGTGTGTGTGTGTGTGTGTAACGAATGCACAGTCGTAATTTTCGACGGATTTGCACCAAAATTTAAATGCACATGCTCCAAGTTAGCGGGAAGGCCAAGACCGACCTTGCATTTCCCAACTCCCATCGATAGTCGAAATAATTGATTTTTTCATGCTTCTACGGCAGTTGTCATGTAGTTTGCGGCCATTTTCTACTGGCCAGAGTGAGAGCCTATAGGTGGCTGCCACGAATAGGCAGGAAGATTCTATTGGCCAGCATGAGAGCCAACAGCTGACTGACACGAATATTAACTAGCATGCTAGTATGCAAAAAAAAATCGATAGCCGCATTCGTCACAAGTGGGAAAAATTTAAATCTGCATGGCACTTTACTCCAATTGGCTCATTCGCTTGCTTAAAATCAACGTTGATTCTGATTCCGCAGAACCGGGTTGGGTGTGAAAAAGTATTTGTTGTTAACATTTTTTTTTCATTCGTTTTTTCCAGTTACGAGTCCTTTTTTAAAGCTTGATCGTTTTGTGTTCATTTTTTTTTAGTTCTTTTTCGTAACAGATTTAATGTTTAGTATAGAGCTTAGAAGAAATTCGTAGTGTGAGATAGGCAAGAAGTAAGGCATGTAGCAACATCATCACGGCAAAGGGCACTCCTTTAAAGGCAAGGAAGTGCAAAAATATTTTAAGTCAAGTGATAGCGATTGCTGTATGAGTCGTACGATTTTTGAATCAAGCACGGGCAACGCCGGGCCATGCTGCTAGTCATAGAACAAAATTTGAATAAACATGGTTTTCTGGACATAATAATATTTCTTCTCAGATTATTTTACATCTTATTTATATATCTGTCTATATTTCTGAGATGAGGTGTTGTAACTTTACACTATTTACATTGTTCGGACTACCGTCCTCATCTTTATTGACACAAGGCCCAGTGGATAAAAAACGTTGGTTGAAGCAATCCACTCACAACAAAAACTTGGAGAGTCGAGTTACTAAAGAGAAATAATTGAAACTTTGATATGGCATTGTACTAGAACAATCTACCCCAGTGGAGTCGTACGATTTTTGAATCAAGCACGGGCAACGCCGGGCCTTGCTGCTAGTCGTGAATAATAATGATCAGGACAACAGTTGGAACAATGTAAATAGTATTAAGTTGTTGGAATTTCTTAGATGAAGTGTTGTTGTAATTATTAAGTTTTTGTCTAGTTTATCTTTCATCTTATTTTTATTGCTTATTTATACCTAATAGTAATACATATAGATGTTTTAAGATGTCGGAATTTCTTAGATGACGTGTTATCATTATTATTAATTTTTTGGCAAGTTTATCTTTCATCTTATTTTCCTTTCACTTTGATTTATTTATATTTATATTCTATAACCAATAAACAAAAATAAAAGACAGCTATATATATATATATATATAAAATTAAATGCTGTCTGTTTGTTTACTTTTATAGCCCAATTGTTAACGCGTCGGGCCAAGCAGACAGACACTCAACGATATTTTATTCTTCTCAGAAGCTTACTCTTTCTTTTTATTCATAACTTTTGCTTGACAAATGTAGAATGTAACCTCATGAGAACAGGTCCTTTCCAGAAATTTGCATTAACCTCTCCTCCGACAGGTTCAAAAAGCATGAAACGATTTCGCATAATATCCAATATGGCTGGATATTTTTCCAACGGTAGGCTTACGGCTGCATCGCGGTGAAACACTGACTTTCATACGATCACCGAAGTTAAGCAACGTCAAGCCTGATCAGTACCTAGATGAGTGACCGCTTGAGAGTACCAGGAGCTGTAAACTTGAAGGTACGATTGGTGTAATAGATAATGGTATGGAGCCCAAGTCACAATTCCTGTTAGGTTCGTTATATTTTATTTACATGCAAATATCGTTGCGCAGGGTAGGAATCAACTTCTTCTCTCCCCATCTATGGGTTAATTAGTAAGACGCGTATCACTAAATCATTATTATCTCCAAAAATAAAAAGATAAATTTTTACAATCTAAAAAAATATTTTCTGGCTTTAAATAACGTGCAAAAGTTTGATAAGCCGTAAAAAAAACGAATCAATCAATTGTCCAACAGACGCATTACGAGGCAAAAAAATCCCTTAACAAAATTCTTGCAAATATCGTTGGGAAAGGTATGAATCAACTTCTTCTCTCCCCATCTATGGGTTAATTAGTAAGATGCGTATCACTAAATCATTATTACTTCCAAAAAAAAAGGTAAAATTCTTACAATCTAAAAAATATTTTCTGACTTTAAATAACCTGCAAAGGGTTGATAAGCCGTAAAAAAAGAATCAATCAATTGTCTAACAGACGCATTACGAGGTAAAAAAAAATCACTTAACAAAATTCTTGCAAGGCAGCTCATCGGAACCAATATTAAAGGATCAGACATCGAAACATTTTACTCTCCATCAAGAGTATTGTATCAGCCAGTCTCAGTCTTATATGCAGTATACAAGGACTCTAGTTTTAAAGATCTGTGTTCCATTATGGTTCTACAAGTTATGGTTAATCGTAGGGAGTGTCAACCCCTCAAAGACAATTGAACAATGGGAAGGAATCTATCGGTGACAGATGGTAAATATTCGGTATGAATTGGTTTGGTTCTTTACAACTCTTTGCCAGAAATGGAATCATGTGGAATTAGTTAGATTCTGAAGTTGGTTGTTGTCCTCGGGCATGTTGTATTTCTTATTGTTAATTTACGCATATTGATACTTGCTTTGGTACATACGATCAGATATATTGGTAGATTAGGTTAAACTTTGAGAAGGAGGAAGACAGAATAACAGAGTTGTCTTTCTCTCTCTCTCTCTCTCTCTTTCCTGTTATGTCCGGGGGGTGGGGGACATTTACTCGTCAAAGTTTTCATTTGGAACTTTGCAAAGAATTTTACTTCTTTGAATCAACTGCTTCAAAAGTATCCGTCTGCGAGTGGAAAATAAACTTGGCACACGCGAATTTGTGTGTACATAAAAAAAATGTTCTGCAACTGAAATACAGAATTGGCAGTGTTGAAAGGCAAGAAATGAAACTTCCCTGGTCCTTTATATAAAAAAAGGAAAAATTAGTAATAATGACATTTCCGGATGCAAAGAAATTTTTGAACCAGATAACCGAAGTCATGAGTCTTTGCGTACATCCTAAAAAATTCCTCTTAAGCACATATGTGGCCAGATAAAAAAAAATTCAATCATGTCGTGCTTTTACTGATTTACCCACAGAGGAGCGTTTCGGTTAGCAAGGTCGATTTTACTGTTTTTAAACTACAATTCTCCAAATCGACCTTGCTAACCGAAACGCTCCTCTGTGGCCCAATCGGTTAAGGCACGTCAGGCTATATGACGTTTCCGTATAGGATACAGGTTTGATTCCTGTCGATGGATGCATATTTTCTGTGAAAATTTCTCGGACATTCAGGCCGGTAAATGTTGTTAACACTGTTTATTATAAACAGAGCATTTACTTAAATATTTTTTATCTATAAAAAGAACGTATAAGCATAAAAAATGTCTTTAAAAAATATATATAATTCATACAAACAATAATGCTCCTTTCAAATAACTTAAATTTTTATTTGAGCAATCAAAAAACACTTAAATTTAGTCAAACACGTCTTAACACAATGATTAATATCAGTTCTTGACAATCGCTGTGATATTCGGAAGTTGTTAACTGGAGCAAGCAATGACTTGTTAATTTTAACTCCTTCAGAAATGAAACTGCTCTCGCTTAATCGGCTAAGAGATCCCTTTTTAACTTCCATCAGTATGGCTGATGCTAACCTCCAGTAGAGTTATACTTCTTCGACAGACTTTTTCTGCTGTCTTGAAGTGTAAAGAATATATTGCATCAATTCCTGGATCTGCTGCCAGGAAAGCTGATTCCATGTGACTTCTTAGACAATTTTCCTCACCAGAATCTATCTTACACATTTATAAGTCTACCATTCGTCCTTGCTTTAAATATTGTTACAATATCTGGTCTGGTGCTCCTGCTATATATTCCGAGTATCTTGTTAAATTACAAAGAAGAATCTGCAATGTTATTAGTCTTGACCTGGCATCTCTCCTTCGGTTACTTTCCCACCGTCGTAATGTAGCTTCCCTGTTCCTTTTCTATAACTACTTTCATGTTAATTGTTCTGATGAGCTTTCCTCTGTGGTAACTAGTTTTTATGAATTTAAGCGCAGTACTAGATTGTCGGCTAGGTCTCAACATTTTACAGTTGAAACAGCTAGATTCAATCTTAATTTCTATACTAACATTTTCTTCTCTCACACTTCTCAATTGTGGAACTCTCTTCTGGCTTCTTCATTCCCTGTCAAGTTTGATCTTCAAAAATTTAAATGCAACATGATTAACATTTTATAATATATATATCTTTAATATGGCAAATTTAATCCTGATGTAAAACACCTTATTAGAATATTAGAGTAATATAATAGAATTTCGAATGGACATCATTTCTTAAGCCTATTTAATAAAAAAATTTGTATATATATATATATATATATATATATATATATATATATATATATATATATATATATATTTAAAAATATGATTCCAACGCTACATAAGAGTTCTCATGTATCAGAACAAGCGGTTAAATTTAGACACCTAAAGCTTACCCTGACTTGACGTCTTTGAATGTAACTGAGATATTGATACAAATTATTAAGCCTTACGCCCCTTTTCTTTAAATAATTGCTCTAGCCGTTACCATAGTAATTTTAATTTTAATAATGAATATGCTTATAAAACGCGTAAATTTCAGGAATTAGTTATTCAAAAAAAATTTCGCTTGAAGATGGAACAGAGCTTGGTACTTTAATTCAATTTAATTCAAATAATTATATTGAAATTTTCGGCTCTTGTTTTGAATCATGAGAACTCTTATGTAGCGTTGGAATCATATTTTTAAATAAATAATTATGTTTATGCTCTACTTTTGTATCGAGCAATTTTTTTAAAAAAAAATAATAACAAAAATACTAAAGAACTTTGGATTATTTACCTAACGAGTTTTTTCCTATTTTCTATATATTTTTACACACACACACACACACACACACACATATATATATATATATATATATATATATATATATATATAATCCTAGTGAGCCAGGAACTACCTACCAAGGTTTCACCTAATGGATCGTTAGGGCTGAAGACCTTGGTAGGTAGTTTCTGGCTCACTAGAATTTTTTTTATGCTTTGCTCTACTAAGTGTATTGAGCACTTTTACGTTTTTTTTTCTTATTTTACTAGATTAAGTTTTTTTTTTTTTTTTATTAGGCATATCGATGTTGGGTGATTTTTTTTCGACCATCACCGGATGTTTTTACTCTTTTCTATTTTTCTATTTTCCTGAATGTTTTTCTCTGATACCAGTTTGTTTAAGAATATTTTATTTGCAAATTGTTCTATCCCTTTGTTTTCAATCCAGTATATATATATATATATATATATATATATATATATATATATATATATATATATATATATATATATATATATGTCCCGGAAAGGGATATATTTGAACGAAGTAGCTAAGTGGTTTTGGCTACTATAACCAAGTAGAATACGGTAGCAGTAATCGACTGGTACGCGTCGTAGTCGAAGGTAAGAAGTGTAGATCAATGGCGTAGTCCAATGGGCGTCGTTATAAACTTAGCTCTCAGACTTAGGCTCTTTACTTTGTCGTACCTACACATCCCTCGGTATTTATGACGGACACCAGCCAATCATATTCCAGTGAGGGGAACACAGGTGTACACATATTCCATTATATATATATATATATATATATATATATATATATATATATATATATATAAGGTTGTCTCTATGTGTATGTGTGTGTGTATTTAGACACCATATCTTCAATCAAACATGTTTCATTGAATAATATAGACATATGTCTACTTATTTTTATACAGATCCTTTCAAGTTGTCTAATCATTTTTTTTTTTTTGATGTTGAGATGAAATTTATCAAGGAAGGTGTCATATTTTTTTTAACCCAAGTACTTTCGACCTTTTCTAAGATTATCTTCTGGTCTTAGTTTCAATGAAAACACGTTATTGCAACTGAGATAAAACCGACATTCCGTTGCCATAGTGATTTTTAAAACTCGTACGCAGGCTCACTGTGATAATTATTTTAGAATTTTAAATTTATCCCTTAATTGTCATGGGATTTTTTTTACAAAACAAGCGTTTCAATATAAGGTAGAAATGTAAAATGGCATTAGTAAACGGTATTTCGTTAAGACAGATTTTATATAAGGGTGTTTCCTTAAGACGGATCAAAGTCAGCAGTAAATAAATCAGTGTTATTGGTGAAAATTTATTTATTTCTCTATTGGATCATGTTATTTAAGTCATGGCAATTATGTGTAGAAAATAATATCGCCCAAATGTCCGCCACGGCTTCGGCGGCACACCTCCACTCGATGAGCAAAATATTTTATGACGTCTCTGCATAGTTGCTCTTCTATCTCACCAATATGCCTTATTATCTCATCCTTCAACTGTTGAATTGTTGTTGGCTTGTTGGCATAGACCTTACTTTTGAGATGACCCCAAAGGAAGAAATCTAAAGGCGTCAAGTCGCACAATCGTGTTGGCCAATTGACTTCGCTGTTTCGAGAGATGATTCGACCTGGGAAGTGCACGAAATGCATTTCTGTTTCAATGTCCGTTTTTGTAATAGGCTTCGATAACTTTAAGACGTTGTTTGATTTTTCATCTTTCCATGGCTGAAATTGACAAA